GCTTTAAATTTAATTCAATCTTATTTATCTGATGAATATCAACCAAATATTTGAAAACAACATCACCGTTATTATTATAAACTTCCAATATCTCTACACCTGTAATTTTGTACAATTCAACATTAATACAACCTCACTTATTTAATACATCCGTTCTCGTATGCTATGCAAGTGACAACATCAATTCTTATATGTTGATGAGTTCACTATTAAAAGCCTTAGTTAACACTTTTATTTTACTTCAACTCAACAATTATGTCAAAAGTTACAATGGTCTAAATACAACACATCCAATCTCATATTCAAGTCAATTGAGTCAACATGTATACCAACAATTCTTACATGCTCGTTAATTTAGCATTATACGCTTCGATTCTTCTCTTTTTTTTTTTTTTTTAATCAATTAAAATCTTAATAGATACAATATCTCAAGATTTAACAAAGGTTAACTAGAAATTAATAAAATTGGCAAAACCATCTACAACAGTAATTTATAACTGTAAACTGTAATCCTTAACAATATTTAACTTTCTTATATCTTAACTTTCATTTATATCCTCTAGTAACTTTTCTTATATATTCCTGGGATTAAATTGACAGATATAGCCTTACTTCCACAACTTATATTCTCTCTCATTTTATTTGCATTGGATATAAAGGTCTCTTAAAGCAGTTATAGGTTCAATAGGATCCTTTCAACTTAAATCTAGTATACCCATGTACACTTTTCAAAACTTTAATGCTCATACATTTAACAACAATCAATTGTCCTTTTGTTTTTTTTTTTTTTCTTTTAACTACCTGTGCTTCTTAAATTTGTATTCACTATAATACCATTATAATTAAAGAACAATGGCTCAGCTCGCAAACATTTTCTCAACAAATACTTCTCTATAACATGTAAAACTTACAACTTAGACCATGCAGTATTTATTTTTCATTCTACATACATGCTATTCATAAGTAGTTTATTATCCATCAGTAAACCATATAAAAATGTCATAAATTACGCCATTATCCATTTTCATAAAGCAGCTCGTCCATACTGACTATCCACGTCTCTCCCTATGGAAGTTTGCATCCAGTCTTGTCCTGCGGTCTCCTTTTTTGTTTTTTCCTACTCTTCTTTGGTCTGTCGTCTCTGCCATTTTCTTATATATATATATATATATATTCTTTGGCTATCACTGGTCTCTTGGCTTATAAATTTTCATTTCATTATATGGCGTCATACAATCCAATCAATCACAATACTACTTAAATGTTAAATAGACATTACTATATGTATTTATACCTGTACATATGATACAATCTTCTTTTGAATCATTGCTATTTATATATTTTTTTTTCTATAAATTATACTGATACTGTGCTTGTGAATCACTGTTCATCCCAACGGATACCAACATCTCACTTTCAATCTAAGTTATATTTGCAGTGATTAACTTGTGTTCACAAGATAATGAGGATTTTTCCTATTCTTCTTTTTTTTTTTTTTACTTATATATTCCTGTCATAGCTATACCGAAATCGCCATGCACTGTCCTCTACAGTACAGTAGATTCACAGAAGATAATTGGAAGTGTGGCACAGTATAGGAGTGCTATCTTCATAAAACTGACTAACTTCAGTCTCATCCTCTTTGGTAACAAAGTTATATTAAATAAAACAAACCACATGCTTATAAAGGCATAGCATAAAACACCAACAATCAGGGATTCTCATAAATATATAAGGGTTGTATAGAATGGGAAAGAATTTCCATGCATGGAAAGTTATGCAGCCTATTAATAACCACATTACCAAGGTCATCAGCAAAGTTTTCTAGAATATCCATATCTCTTTACTTTCCTAACAATCTTGTCTGTCTGTGTCTCATAATTTTCCTCTATAATAATTTTAAAGCTTATGTACTTTGAATATCTTAACATTGCCTTCCACAGAGACTATTTAATAATAACTAATTAATATACAGAAACTTCATTAGTCAAATCATAAAATATTTCATAATCCTGTAGTATACAAATACATAAAAGGTAAGTTACATAAACCATTTAAAAATAGTATCCAATTTTTCCTTTCTCCTCTATTTCACCATATCACAGTTTACATGTATTCACTTAATTCTCTCCCATCTGTCCATACCTATATACAACAAAAGAGTGCTATGCACTCATTTATTTCCATTTTCCTGCCATAATATCTGAATTATAAAGTTTATTATCCAAATTTCACAATTCTAGACCACACTTGTTTGACACAATCCATGTGCTAACTTCAAGATGAGTTCATTATTAACTCATGAATGCTTTAAATCAGTTATTATCATCTTCTGATATACATTTATTTATATTAATATTCAATAATATATTCTATACATTCTATTTTTTTTATTATCTGTACTTCACAAATATATAATACAATTTGAATTTAAACAATTATGATTTCCTCCTTGGTTGACATTTCAATTCCAATACAGATTTAACAATGAATCTGTCCACTTTATAGTTTCTTAGTACTGTCATTCTACAAATGACACTAAATAATAAAACTCAATGGATAACTTAAGCTCAGATCCTTGCAGCAAATCTTCAGTTCATTAGCTTATGCAGTACACAAGATTGGACAATATAGCAATATATACATTGCAATATATTACAATAGTCTATTTTCATTATTGTGATAACAATTGTCTTATGTTGTACATATTCATATTATAAAATCATGACATTTTGTGCAATTTACTGTATGGAGAGTTATAACTCATCAAAAGGCAAATACTCTCACTGTTGCGACTCAATATATATATCCAAACATTCTGTATGTACACAAATATTAACTTATTTCCAAAAACTTTTATTCATATTCATAACACTAATAGTAAATTTAAAGACAAACTTGTTGCTCAAGTATTGTTTAGAAAATTCAACAGGTTTCTTGTACAATCAATAATACAATCAAGAGCCAACAACATTAATTTCTGGCTTTACCAAAAGCCTTTCTTTAGGTTAAAAGACAACTTCATAGTTTACAAAACTGAACCATGTAAGAATAGTCTTACCTGTAATCTATCACTTTCTAACATGTCACATATTAATTGGGTGCTTATAAATTTCAACAATCACTAAACATTGTCTCAAATGACAAATGTACATAGCTACAGGCACCTGTACAGGACCTTTAAGTACCTTTATTGATCAACAATGGCTGCTAAGGGCCATTCTAATGAATTTCAAGAGAGCATCAAAGAAGTGAACCAATTGCTCAAACATATAATACATTCAATATGAGCATACATATAATATATAATTCCAGCATAATATGACACCTTTGAGGAATTGGATATCATTTCTAGGTGCTTTTTCAACACATTAATAATCAATATCATATGATTATGATACCCTCGAGGATCCTACTAGATCTCAAGTGGATTTTATACTAATTAATAATTAAATAAGGAACTATTAATAATAATAGTTTACAGTTATTCGGTTTTTAACATTGGAGTTTACTACCAATTGTTAGCCATTGCTATATATATGTACATTTATAAAATTCAAAACACAGCAAGAAATAAATATAATAATTGTACTATCAGAGTTAACTACTATTTTCACTGAGAGCTTCACAGCTAATCATGAGATAGCATCTAAAATGTCTTTAATATGTAATATTATGAAATATAACAAGTTATGTAGCTTGTATCAGTTTATGTCAACAATATACTGTGTCTATCTATATTAATATGCTTTATTAATTCATTAATAAACACATATAAGTATCAACCAATATAATATATATATGACAGTATCTCAATTTGGGAATATAACCACAATCAAGACATATACCTGGACTATGCCAGTGATTGTCATTTATCTGAAATGGGATCATCAAACATATATGTGTACCTATGTAAAGAAATAATAACAATTCTTCAATTCAATTCACGTAGAACAAACACACAAAACTGAACAGTAAGTTTGACTAATTTACTGTGAATTAGCAACAAACTCAGCAATTTATTGTTTATTACACTGTTTATATGTATAACATGGTATGTGTTCTCATGTTCAACCTGTATGTCAACATAGTTAATGTAACTGTTTCTAATCTGTTGATATTCTATCATACTCTATCATAGGCATTAATAACATAACAATAGTTACTCTGTATTTTAAACTAATTAGATATCCATGTTGTTTTATACTTAATGTATTCATAATACTTCTTTCTTAGGTATATTGTATACCTCAATATCGTGCTACATGTCATGTCATTACTCTCGCAAGTTATCGTACATACTAAATCTATTTAATATGTAGAAAGCAATTCATCCAAAAGTTCAATAAAACAAGTGAGATACTGCGTTTAATGGTATGCGTGTTATTAACGTAAATTCACTTACCGCAACTTCTAATCAGAATTACCTTACGGTCGAATTTGTAGGCGGGATTGGTACCGCTTCTGAACTTTTAAAATCACTAGTATCCTGACGATTTAGGCGTAATACCGGTTAGTCAGGGAGAGAAACACCTCAATGCCTCCAATATTCACAATTACCTATCTCTTATTTGTTTTTATAATAATATCAACACTTCAACTTTTTCGCTCCCAAAAACTCCCGCTGCCTCCGTTCAATTATCCGTCATCCACTTGTCAATGTCACATAGATTACTTTTGCTCTGGCCTCTGACGTTCCGTTTCAGGTTACATGATTATTGACTTTACCATTTTTAATTAATGGTGCGTCACACGATAGTTAACATAAGTAAGTAATTATATATCATGATGATGATGATAAAGTAATTATTTATTTTAAAAAGTTAAAGGTTTACAAAACCTTAAAATTTTTAAAATAAATAGTCTAAAATATAAATAATAACCAAGTCTTAAAATTGTCTAAAATATAAGCTGTCAATGTCACTTTGACAGCGTAGCGTCATTTTGAATGTCAAACTTTTGTATGAGTTTATTTATATCGTCGTCCCAAATTGAACTTTCGTGCCTTTGTGCGTTCTATACAGTAATAAAAATGGACGATTACCCAAAAATTAAAAATACAAAAGCCCCGGACGTGGCCGTCAGCGCTGTATTAGTACCGAGCCAAGATTTACCCGCCGAAACACCCACAGTCTCCGGATATGATTGGGAAAACGGTACTGATTACAACAAAATCTTGGATAGTTATACATGCTCTGGTTTCCAGGCCACCAGCTTCGGGAAGGCAGTACAAGAGATAAACAAAATGCTCAAATGTAGATCTGTAACTCTGACTGAAGAAACCAGCGACCCGTATGAAGAGGATGCCTTTATTAAGAAAAAAACTAATTGTACATTATTTTTGGGATACACTTCTAACATGATATCGTCTGGTCTGCGCGAAACGATTACATTTTTAGTGAAAAACAAGCTCGTTGATTGTATAGTTACCACAGCTGGGGGTGTGGAAGAGGATCTCATAAAATGTCTCGCACCTACATATGTAGGCGACTTTAATTTAAGTGGCAAAATGCTGAGAACTCGCGGCATTAATAGAATCGGTAATTTATTGGTACCGAACGATAATTACTGCCGTTTCGAGGAGTGGGTTACTCCTATACTTGAAGAAATGCTCGACGAGCAGATCAACGAAGGTACTGTTTGGACCCCATCGAGAATTATAGCACGATTAGGAGAGAGAATAAATAATGAGAGTTCCGTCTGTTACTGGGCATGGAGAAATAGTATTCCGATATTCAGTCCGGCCTTAACTGATGGTTCGCTTGGTGATATGATGTATTTTCACTCCTACAAACGTCCAGGACTCGTTATAGACATATTGGGTGATTTACGCAGATTAAACACTATGGCTGTTAAAGCTAACAACACAGGAATGATCATATTGGGTGGTGGTGTTATTAAACATCATATATGTAATGCAAATTTAATGAGAAATGGCGCTGATTTTTCTGTATATGTTAATACTGCTAATGAATTTGATGGAAGCGATTCTGGAGCGCGCCCAGATGAGGCAGTCTCATGGGGCAAGATTAGAACAAATGCAACACCAGTAAAATTGTATGCCGATGCCACTCTAGTATTCCCTTTGCTTGTGGCTCAAACATTTGCTAAATACCACTTCAGTAGTAAAAAAAATGTATAATTCTCTGTTATTTATTAATTATTTTATTATTATATTTGATTAATATATTATTATATTAAAAAATGTCTATTATTTGAATTTATAAATTTACATAGCAGTGAAACAGTGTGACTAACTCCATCTGTTGTCGAGTAGTTGAAACCAATAAGCAACTACAGTCTACTTTCTTCGTTTAGAAATCACCGTTTTCAGACTACAGCATTATTTAATATAACGACGTTCATTAATTCCTTTAAAATTACAACCGTTCAATTTAAAATGTATTTTATCTACTAAGTAAAATTTATTTTAAAGCTAACTTAATGACCGACTTGATAGTGATATCCATTATTTCTGATTCTGAACGATACCGGTGAATGAACTGTCAAATATGTAATGAAGTTAGCCGCTGTCTGGATTCCATAAAATTGCGTTAGTGTACATCTGTGTAAGGTATTATTACAGATGTGTGCTATAAGGGCACGACGGCCCACCCGCCGTTGACGGGCGAAGCAAACCAAAACTCGTCCCTACCTTTGCTTGCAGTCCGATATTTACCGGGGCGTTGAGTGCCGGTAAAACTGTTTACAAATCCGATTTTCAAGTATAATAATGCAAGAACGTGTATTTTCTTCGGGTGTTCAAAATTAAAAATGCACCGACGGTTTTTAAAAATCGAACTGTAACGCTCGTTAGTGGTGGTCACTGTGAGAATAGTGAAAAATGTGTTTGTTCCGTGGGACATTGTTTTTGTTCCTTCTGCTTACTGTATCCGGTGAGTCCTTTAGTCCTGCCGTCTATTTTTAGTATTTTACGGTCATTCGGCGCAGATTTTACTGGTCGGCGGTGTTTCTTCATTATAGCATCACTTTGATCTCGTTGGACAGGAAAATAAAACAAGATTCTGTTTCTTTGATGTTTTATTTGTCGCGATGAATGACATGCTTTCAGTATTTCAATAGACTAAAATACATTTCAATACATACTTTTGTAGATTTTATAAAAAAGGATTTAAAGTAATGAGTTGTAATATTTTTAGCTCATAAATGTAAGATATTTAACCTTTAGTATTTTTTAAATCACAAATAACAATTAAGGCATTATGTTGTTGTGTTATATTTTTTCTTTTTTTTATATCATTGGCTAGACATACAGTGCATAGAAATGCACTATACTTTTTCACACACTCTTGTTCTAAAATTGATTTTACAATTTTTTCAATTATAAATACTGATCCATCCAAACTAATAATATAAAGAGACTGAATTTTATAATGAAAAAAGTAAACCACAGCACCTGATTGAGACTTTCTATTTTTGAATATTATTTCAGAGAGATTCCAGTGTCACACAGGCTATATCATGTTAATAATAAAAAGTTTTCAGCATTCAGATATAGCCGGGATGGGCCATCAATATTAAGATTTGTTATAACTATATATTTAGTCTTAAATATATATATATATTATTCATTATACATATAAGGATATAGATTAACTTTAAAAAGTATTGCTGTTTAAAAAAACACTGAAAAAATAGTTTCTTACTTATTTATTCTAGATTTATTTTGTGAGAAATATTTTTGATTACAGTAACATATAAATGTTACTGTAATCAAAACAAACTCACAGCTCAATTGATGAAAAGTGGCAACCATCTAATATACACAAACATGGATATCACCACATCTTGTTCCTGAAGAATCTATCACTCATTGGATCCTATTTAGAACCTTTTTCACACTGAGAATTTTATTGAAAACATTTTTTGAACATTTTTAGAAAAAATGAAGTACTCTTTTCAACTGTTTTTTGTGTGTTAGCTCAGAACTTTTTTCTATATGTACCAATTATGATTATATTTTATAATTTTGAACATTCTCATATGGTCCAGATAAGTTTGATTAACATGTGACCAGTAGCTTTTAAGTTATCCTCAACAATGTAATTAAAGTCTGCTTTTTTCTTAGTCTGACGCTGTATTATTGTAATTAATTAAATTACAATTAGTTACATAGGTATCATTATTGCAAAGAAAAATTGTGAGCAAAATCTGAGATGAAATGGGTCTAGAATGATAGAGAACTAATAATATACATGATTAGCTCTTATCCGCTACTTTGTCTGCACTTGCAGTTTCATCCCATACTTCACCCCTTCCAGGCTCAGTCATGTCAGTTGTTATAATATGACCTTAATCATCATAACAAATTTCATTAAGATCCGATTATCCATTTAGGTTTAAAAAGGCATAGTAGTCAAAATCTTTAATTCACTCAGCCTATAACGCACGTCATTCCCTCGGAATGATCCTCCGTCCAATTCAAAAGGGGATCGAAATTACGACGGTCTGAGCCGAGGTTCGAACCCCCTAGCGGTGCCCACAGACAGTCGTATAAGTCAGGCGGGAGTTGGTCCTTAGCCACTCTAAGTCCATCCGAAGAATTGTAGGGCCATCTGCACCTGCCCCCTATCGTTAGGTGAAGCTGTAAAGGTTTAGCAGGACTTCAGCTGCTCCATAAGTCCATACGCAGGTTTGTAGTGCCATCTGCACTCGCTCCCTATCGTTCGATGAAGCTGTAAAGGCCAGCTGCCCCAACAGCATTAGAATAGTTCGAAGAAAAATACGCGTCATAATTTTTACCACTATCCTTACAGTACAACTTCGACTAGCTACTTCAGTTGGGAAGAACTGGCAAGAAACTCAATTTCTATAATAATAAATTTATTTGTAGATTTTGAATACATACATATATGATGTTATACAAAAACATGGCCCTTGCAAAATCTGCTTAAATCAAGCGTACAAATCTTAAAGTTAATTAAATTATCGATTTTTTATATAATTATTAATTATTGTAGTATGTTCTATGTTTTTTATGTTATTTTTTAAATCAGATATTTTAACAACAAACAGACAGATACTCTTTCGTAATTATAATCATGAATCCATTCACAGCTGTAACTCAGCTCAGACTTGGAGACTTCTTAAATCATTGGGTATTGGCAAATCGTCTTTTTCAAATTGTCCTCCTAATTTGGACTATAATGCGCTCAACCAGCATTTCTCTTCGCCTCCTGTCTCCGTTGCTGACAGTATCAAAACTTTTACTCTTGATAATCTTCGCCGCCAGTCTAAACCCAACTGTGAACCATTTTACTTCAAAATCATTAGCCAGTGTGACGTTAAAAAATCTATCCTTTCCATTTCCTCCAAGGCAGTCGGTGATGACAATATTTGCTTACAAATGATTCGACTGATAATTGACGAGCTCGTGCCCATAATTTCTCACATAATCAATCATTCTTTGGTCACTTGTTCTTTCCCGTCTGCCTGGAAAAATGCTCGTGTAATTCCCCTTCCCAAAACCAATAATCCTAGCTCTTTTAACGAATTTCGTCCCATTTCTATTCTACCCGTATTATCCAAAATTTTAGAAAATGTTGTTCATGAACAATTATATTTCTATCTATACAGTAACAACTTACTATCTCCCTTTCAGTCGGGGTTTCGTCCTGCGCATAGTACAATTTCTGCCTTACTCAAAGTTCTAGATGACATTCACCTTGCTAAGGATAATAAACAGCTCACAATCCTTACTTTATTAGACTTCAGCAACGCTTTCAATTCTATTGACTTCGATATCCTCCTTGGCGTCCTTGATTCTTTTAACGTATCTCCACTGGTATTGGAATGGTTTGATTCATATTTGAGGGGCCGCAGGCAGTGCGTTCATCTGGATGGAATCACCTCAGACTGGTGCGAATTGACTGCCGGCGTCCCTCAAGGTGGCGTTCTCTCTCCCTTACTTTTTTCTGTTTTCATTAATTCATTGACAAAAGTACTCTCTTGCAACTTCCATCTCTATGCTGATGATCTGCAACTGTATCGCAGCTTCGAACTCCGATCCATAGATAACGTCATCTCCTTGGTGAATACGGATCTCGATGACATTTGTGAATGGGCTAAGGCATATGGTCTGCTCGTGAATGCTAAAAAATCACAGTCCATCATTGTTGGCAGCAAATATATGGTGAATTTATTAGATACAACGCACATACCGTCAGTAGTATATAATGGAGATATAATATCATGCGTTAAAACTGTAAAGGATTTGGGTGTTTACATAGACAGTGACCTTTCTTGGTCTTCTCACATTAAGCACGTTAGTAAGAAAATTTACGGGGCAATTCACTCCTTGAGGCGTCTTCAAAGTTTTCTGCCATTCAAAACGAAGGTCGAATTATCCAATACGCTCCTTTTACCTCTTCTTGATTATGCAGATGTTTGTTTTCTCGATGCCACTGTCGAATTGCTTAGCAAAATGGAACGTCTCCAGAACGTGTGCATTCGCTTTATTTTTGGTTTGCGAAAGTTCGACCATATATCACAGTACCGTAAACAGTTAAAATGGTTGCCCTTTCAACTACGACTTAACGTACACGTCCTCAGTCTTTTATACAATATATTGCATAATCCTTCTGCACCTTCCTATCTCCGCGAACGTTTCCATTTTCTCCATCCGACAGAAGTACACATTCGATCCCAAAATAGATTAGTCTTACGGACTCCTGTACACTCTGGGCAGGCATACTCAAACTCTTTTGTTGTGTCGGCTATTAGATTGTGGAATTCATTACCACACGAACTGCGTGACAGCGCTAGCATTGGTATATTTAAAAGCCGCTTAAAAAAATATTATCTTTCACAATGCTGACGTATTATTATACATATATATGTATTACAATTATATATTAACCGAAACCTTATATATTATTTATGTACAATTTATGTATGTCTATATATTTATATATTTGTGTATGTTTATTCCTTCTTATAGTGTGACTTATTAATATTTATATAATTTTAATGTCTTCCTTTCCCTTTTTTTTCTTCTCTTTTCTCGTACACGTATGTATGGCTGATCTAATGACCAAATTATCCTGTAAAATTTTCTAGGTTTGCTGGAAGAAATCTCTTTTTAGAGATAAGCTCGCCCTTGTACATTACTTTTATTTTATTATTGCTATTTTTTTTTTCCTGTGTGTGTACAATAAAGAATAAAGAAAGAATATAATATTAGTATGGTATAAACCCTACACCCGGGAACTGCTCGGAGTCTCTATGTCATATGGACCCGGCAAGCGCACGGTGAATGCTGAGAAGTTCGTCTTACAGTAAAAAATAAAAAAATAACTTAATATATTAGCAGGACCGTCTTTCACCCATTAGAGACCCTGGCCACATTAAGGTAATGGGGGACCTATGACCATAGTAATAAAGCACTATACTGTTAGAGTAGACTAAGTCATTTTAAACACGACTCTTTAGAGATGTATATGGGGGGACCTTCAAAATAAACAAGGCAAACATAATTTTAAAGTCGCATTGTGATAAAGGGTTCAAATTCTTTGCTAGACATTTATAAAAAAAATAACAAAAGGAACAAATTGACTATAGTCGGTAAGCGTTTGTTAAGACTGATTTTCAGGTGAGAGTAGCTATCGGTTTTCGTTTGGTAATGGAGTAGGGACTAGACTAGACTAGGGGGCCCCAATCCATCGCGGGGCCCTGGGCACGGACCCAGTGGGGAAGAGGGGCCTGTATATTAGACTATAACATTGAATACGTTGTTTAAAGTCAGTCATGCAGAAATGCATTCTGTGAATAAGTCCACTGTAATATGAGCAGTGTTAGGTGCTAATGTGAGTCATAACATTGAACAATGTTACTGCTATCCAATTCCAAGCAAAGAAAGGTGATATTGTTTAACAAT